GAATTCAGGGGATCTCAAAACGTAAAAATCCCTCGAAAACTCGAGGTCGAAAAAAAATCATGATTCCTATACTTTCCTTATATCTGTATACAGATAGGAAAGTAAAAATTAATAATTATCATGTACGTATCTATTAAAAATGTAATCATTTGATCGTTTATACATTCGAATTAAAAATAAGTTGCATTTTTCTTTAAATCTATCCTTTACAAAATAGTTATAAAACATTCATTTGGATTCTGATTAAAAAACGACTTAATGTGCCATTGGAAAACCAAACTGTCAAACGTTTGTATAGTGGCTACAAACAAATATGTTAAACGACGCCCATTAATTATCTATTTCTTTTGTTAATCTGAGATAACAACTAATGTCAACTTCTGACAAACCATTATCGCTGCATTATTAATTAATAAGATGGTAAACATGTATAAAAAGTGCTCCTAGTCGTTAACCAGACCTTCATATCTCATCGCCAGACGTCTCTGAATTAATGAGTAATAAATTTTAGCTCTTAATTTTTTTTAAATATTAATGAGAATTATTTGCTTGCCAATAAAATTTACAAAAATTTGTTAATTAGGTCATAAACAATAAAAAAATATTTGTACTACAGTAATAATGGCCAAATTTTCAAAATTGCATAATATTTATTAAGATATTTGCTCGTGTAGTAATTTTTATTGTAACGTAAACGTCCATAATTAATAGAACTGGTTATATTAATGATCTTGGTGTGAAATGTGACTCAAAATTCACGTTTTTCAAAGATGTAGACAAAATTATATCGACTGGTAGCAAAATGCTTGGTTTTGTTATAAGAAATGGCAGAGTTCAATAGCTTAGAAACTTTAAAACTTTTGTACCTTTGTTTTGTTAGATCTAGATTGGAATATGCCAGTGTAGTTTAGAACCCTATGTATAATATTTATATTAACAACCTTGAAAAAATTCAGAGACGGTTTATGAAGTCGGCCTCGTACATTTTGGATGGTCAATATCCTCCTACATTGCGCTAATGAAATATATCACTTAGAGTTCCTAGACCAGGATTACGAATTTGTGTAAGTTTTCAACTAACAATTGCTAGGACTAACACTCTATCATCTTCGCCAATACATCAAATGGTCAAAGTTTATCACGATCTGGAGGATCGCCTAGATATATTTTGTACTAGCCCAAAAAAAAAAATAAAAGCAATTCTTAATCTTAATGAAAATTAGTTTTTTTATAACTGTTTTATAGAACTTTTAGTCCAATGCGTCAAAACATACTTATTTTAATTTTCAAATTGTAAAATTGTAAAGCATTTCTACATATATATATATATATATATATATATATACACACACTTTTTTTTCACATATTGTGTTTTTTAAGCGTATGTCTGTAACTTATGCACAACATATTTTGATGCTTTTTTGTATAAATGTTTACTTTTATGTTCTAACTTATTTTTGTTTTTTGTACATTTCCCCGTCACCCTGTAATTGGCATAAACTGTTTTGGTGATGTTATTATAAATAAATAAAAATATAAATAAATAGTCACAGTCACAGTCAATGGCTCCGACGCATGTTTAATATGGTCAATTATTGATTAATTTGATAATTTCTTAATAAAAATGATAATATTAATAAATACAATAATACTAATGAATATAATAACAATAATAATGATTATATTACTAGATATTTGCCGTTCGGACATTGGGTCAGTGATATTTTTTTTAAGTTTAATTTATCCGTCTTTTTAAATGTTTAACAAAAATAGTGTGTTTATAATTATTCTAATTTTGTTTTTAAACTTGTGGCTATGCACCAGAGGACAGTAATTTTATGGATGAAGAGACAGAATTTCATATAAATAGTGATGTAGATGAAGATTATTATTGGATCGAAGGATAGTGATATAGAAAATATTTTAAAACAATTTATAGTATTACTAAATATTCGCAAAATTATATTGTTTGGCTTCCATATTTTTTGTATACAAAATAATGATAGTTAATATTACTAAATTGTCTAATTTTTTTAAACATTTTATTAATATTTTCTAAACGCAGTAACGTACACGTCTGGCAATATATTTTTCTTATTCTGGTGACCAAAAAGAACGAAAAAAAATGGAAGATATGGAAATAATTTAATGAAAAGTTAAAAATTTTGTGAAAAAAAAGACAGCTAATTTTTCCAGTATCTATACAGTTGTCATCTTAACTTAATAACTAAGTGACAGACACAAATATTTTTTTTATTTATATCAGTGACGCCTGGTTTTTCCACCTATTTTACCGTATATATTCATACCATTAAAACTCAATTCCTTATTATTTCTAACGAAGAGCAAATCTATATGTCTTTTCTGCCATGTCTCTTAGTTATCAAGCCATAAGGCTTCTTTCCAAGACTAAAACAATACAATATAACTTTATTTTTCCGTACTGTTCATTTTTGGAAATATTATTTTTAACTAACATTACTAAATTTTGCATCTCAACTCACATGATTTGTGATTTTAATTTATTTATGTGGGGCACAACCTATTCAAATTATGTTGAACTAAAACTCTGTCACTATGACATGATATTGAGTGACATATTTTTAAATTATTAGTATACAAGATTCAGTTAGAAAAATAAAACAAGCAGATGTATAGATTAGAGAGTAGGGGTTCCAGGTGAGACCTGTGGGGTATTCCAGAAATGGTAAAATCGCCATTGGATCTGATATTGCCCAAAGTTACATGTTGTAATCTATTTCTAATACAAGAGTCGAGCTATCTTAGTAGACTATCGTGAATCATCAATTTTATCAAATGCCTTACTGAAGTCGATGTAGAGTCTGCAATTTAGACTTTTTTTAAATGTATTCAATGTAAAGGAATAAATTTGTATCAACTGAACGTTATTTAGTAAAGACATGCTGCTCTATGTTAATAATATTTTTCACATCATAGAAGAAAAAAATCTAAGATAATAATAAGCTTATTAACAAGCTTATTGGAGGTGGGTGGCTCAGTGGTAAAGTCTCTGCCTGTGGAGCCAAGGGTCCCAGGTTCGAATCCCACCGTTGGCCGAGATTTTTTAATTTAATTTAATTATTTAAAATTAATTCTGATGCCTTGGTAGGATTCCCCACTCGACCATTCACTGTTGGGTTCTAATATTAACAGTGCTGTTCCTAAATTGGTTCTGGGAAACAGTAACAAAGTCTACATAGAACACGAGGCTAATGGCCTTAGTAATCGACGCCGATGACACCAAATTAAAAAAAAAACAAGCTTATTAAAAATATTCAATTTAGAGATGGGTCTAAAATTATCACTTATAATATCACAAGAGCTTAAATTATTTCCGGAAATTTTCTTGAGTGCACGAAAATTTTGAAAATTATCGTACCCGAAAGAAAATTTCCAGATATAATTTAAGCTTGCGTGGTACTCGGTAAGAAAATTTTACACCATTTCACACCATAATTTGGAAAAAAATTAATAATCCAACCTGACATTTTAAGTTTATTTCACTACTTGTCAAGTTGGCCAGGGTATTGTTGTTTTTGACATATTATGTTGATTTGTCATTTTTGTTTAACCGGTTCTGTCACAAAGCTTAATAATTACTAGTTTAATTAAAAATTGAATGCTTTGAAAAGTACAATTTATGTAAATACTGCAAAGAGTTGAGTCAAGTGCTAATATGTCATCTAAAATCGAATTTAATGGAAGAATGCGACCAGGAAGCGTTAGAGTCGAATGCTGAAAAGAGATTTGAACAAAATTGTTTCAAAATATTACATATATGTTTTAAAACACAGACATCTGATTAATAATTAATAATAATTAAACAAATTTGTGTTTTCTGTTTAATGAAACTTTATAGCGAATAATAAATAATAATGTTGTCTTATAGAAATTTTGCATTATTCATTGGTTTATCTACATTTTACATTATTTAATGGTTGTAGATCATATGTTTACCTTTTCAACTGTCAAAAAATTTCCACTTAAATATCGTGACGCCTCGAAAAAATTTCCGGAAAAATTTTTTTAGTTGCTATGATAACTAGTCAAAATTAATACGTCTTATTGGTTGAAAAGTAGAGTTGTGAAATTTTAAACTTTATTTTTGCTTTCAGATTTATGAATTGGAACAACAAAAGCCATTTTCCATTTATCAGGAAATGTATTTTCCTTGAGCAATTTTTTAAATATCAGAAACATGGGTTCTATCAAGGAGTCTTTACATTTTTTAATCAAACACGTAGGTAATTTATCCGGACCAGAACCCTTATTAGGTAGATATCAGTTTTTTTTAGCATTAATTTCTCGGATGATATTGTATTGAGCAATACTTATGGGCCATTCATTTGGGATTAAAAAATTGCTAAAACCGCTGTTTACAATAATTTGGGAATGAAAGCAAAAGAAAAGACTTACCGATTGATTTAAATTTATGGATTTAAACTTTAAATTCCAGTAAATTGCACACAAAAGTCAGTTATTTTCGTTATAATTAGATTACTTAAAAGAGTTCTTTCTTGCTCTAATTTTAATTTTTTTCTGCTTCGTAAATTAAGGACAACTAATTTCAGGTGGAAAGTATAAAATTAAATCCATTTAAGAGATCGGTTTGGGTAAGAATTTGAAAAAAAATTGTTCAAAAGGAAATATACTTTGTTAAAAAAGTTATATATCAGTATATGGTTTATAAAATGGAACTCTCAGATAGAAAATTTGAATTTTCAATTGAAAATTACGAAAAATTATTTCTATTGTAATCAGAAAAAAAGTGCCACATATTTTTAAAGTTTGATCAGTTCATCACTGAATGAATAGTGCGAGACTATTCGTTTTCACTGAGAGCTATTTTCTGACAAAATAAATATTACCAACTAGGGTAATTTTTTAATAATTCACGAAAACAAAAAAATATATAAATGATGTATGAGTTTTCAAATATGATGTTTTTAAAATATTTTAAAATAATTGATTGAACTTACGACTAACAGGAGCATAGATATTTGCAGGAACATCTTTAATCACCTAATTCGCGCATAAGAATATTCAATCCTGCGAACTTTAAGACGAATTAGTTTAATCTCTGCTAACAATGGCTTAAATAATGTTTGAAGATTAGGATTTATGGTCATAAACGATATAAAATGGTAATTACATAATTAAAAAACATTAATTTATTTTTTTGCGGCTACAATAAAGCAATCCGACAATACAATAAAATTTTCTTTATGAGAATATACTTACCTACCTCTATTTTTTCAAAATATTGTTTTCTGTATTTTTTAATGGTGTTTATATAAAATCGGGTTAAAAAATTAATGACCTTTGAAATCTGGAAAAATATTATTAGAAAATAATCGTAATAATGTTTATAGGTTGTTTTTGTTAGTAAAAGAATATAATATGTATACATATAAATACAAATATTGTGATATCTCAAAATGTCAAAAAAACGGTATATGACTATTCAAACTTTTAGTTAGAAAAAGTTTTCCACGCTAACCAAATCTACATGTTAATGTTATGCAAAAAATGTGATGTAGTAGTCCCTACTATTAAAAGTAAACTTATTGAAAGAATTATTAAAAAATATTATTTCCGGTAGCAAATTTTAAAAAGTTTAATTTTTAAATTTAAAAAATATGTTTTTATATATTTCCCCCTATAATTGCACGTTTTTAACCATTCACCATTCCTAACAAACAATGACTTGCCGGGATAATGCTGGCCTTTTGCTGTAATTGATGGGAACATGAATGCGACGATTAAAAGATAAAAGCCTACTTTTGACATTTCGATAGTGGTTCAGCATTATGTTGGCTGATAGCCTCATGTATGTATTAGGTATTGGGTAAAAGCATGGTAAAAGTCAAAAGGCTTTTAACTGCCGCAAACCTAACCCCAACAGTCCAGGAGGACTCCGTCTGGCGTTCATAGATAGATACACCGATTATCGCTTGGTACATACTCAACGAGTTCACGTGTACTATTCAGTATTCATTGTAATTTCTTACTTTTACATTTAATTTAGAATATTTTATGAATATACTTTTTGTAGAAGGCCTTCTGTTTTAGTATAGAATGTGTAGTGTAAAGTATGTGGGTACGGGGCAGTAGCCACAACGAAATGAACTGTCACAGTTGGAGAAGTGAGGTTGGGATACTATTCAAGAAAACGGGGGAAATTGATTCGGGTCTTGTAATAATTTGTAATGTGTAAATATTCAGGGTTAAATAAATGTTGAAGTATGCACAGTAGTTTAATGCCGCGTTTGAGAATCCACATCGGATGCATTTTTCACATCTCGAGCGTTTTTTTATCCACATCGGACACATATGTCCCATTACATTTACGTATACTGAATCACGTGATCAAAGATTTACTACATCTCCGATGCATCCGATGTGGATTCTCAAACGGCATAAATATACAATAGAATGTATAGTGCCAGAGACAACAGATACGTGTAACTTAATAGGAAAAAGTGTTCGGTGGTCCATTTAAATTACATATATGACTTTCTTTCTCTTTTACATTGATCTTTACATATATTTATCTCCCTCCAATAAAACTAACACCAATCTAAGAGGTCGCTGATGTTGCTGGTTTTTTGACGTCAACGTATCGATTAAAACTGACAACTGAGAATGTTATGAATGTTGTTATGAACGTGTGCATTTTATTAAAATTAATTTAATTTGGGCCCCGTTTATTTCTTTGAGTCTGATTTTGTTGTTTAAGTTTCTTTGGGGGGATTGTTTATTTTTGCATATTATTTTTTGCATGAAGCAATTTCTGGAACCAAACTCGCGTCTTTGTACACATTTCTTTCTAGAGGTAAGTAATTTCCAATTTATTAAGAAAACCACTGTATAATGTGTGTGTTTAATAATATATTACAAAATGGCCATAATTATTTTAGGTGAATTGGAACAGAAATCCATTGTTACAGCTACTTTTGTTCATTAAGTAGGTAGATGAATGTCTGGACAGCTTTAATGGTAGCACAAAGTTCCTACCTACTAGAAAAGTAAAATGTATATGGAGTAAAAAATCTGCACATGTAGTATTGGCAAAGGAGTTTTGAAATGATTAGAGATTGGCTATTTCTTACATACACCTACCTCTAATAGCCACTCTAAAGGAAGAAAAAAAATTGAATCACAAAAGGGCAGAATTTTAAACCAGGATGCATTAGAAAATAAATTTGGGGACATCAGGTCGGTTTTGGATTTTAGAGAGAGATCAATCTCAAGAAAAGTTAATATATCCTGCAGAACAACCAGTAGTTTAAGTAGGATCTGCTATTGTAATTGTAATATACCAATTGTTTCAAATGAAACTGAAAAAAGGGTTAAATCTGAAATTAGATTTTTCATGGGTAAAATGTTATATTTATTCAAAAATCGTAAGGTAATCTATAATTAAGGGAGTATGGAAAATAGGTATACCCTGCCCGTGTAAAAGACAAGTAAGGCACAGCGACAAAAAAATACAAAAACATTCATCTTTAAATAGTGTTTATTATTAATATTATTATTTGCTATGTTTGAAAAGTACCTCCTGCTGCAGAGCAGATCGAATAGATTAGGAGAAGGTCCACCTAGTCACCAAATTAGGAGACTAGGAAAACTTTTACATGACTGGGGACACAAAGAAATGCACACACCACACAAGATACACAAACAGACGACATAACAGGGGTAAGCCTTCAGCAACGTCCTGTTTAAATGATGATAGTATGTATCCTTCATTCCCTTTTAGAAGGCATGGCATATAAATCTATTGATCTTGATGACCCTAAGAGGAGTTAGCAGGTTTCGATAAAGTTTACAGGATGGGAGCTTACTCGACTCGGGCCTTATACATTTGTGTATGTGTATGTGTGTGTGTGTGTGTGTGTGTGTGTGTGTGTGTGTGTGTGTGTGTGTGTGTGTGTGTGTGTGTGTGTGTGTGTGTGTGTGTGTGTGTGTGTGTGTGTGTGTGTGTGTGTGTGTGTGTGTGTGTGTGTGTGTGTGTGTGTGTGTGTGTGTGTGTGTGTGTGTGTGTGTGTGTGTGTGTGTGTGTGTGTGTGTGTGTGTGTGTGTGTGTGTGTGTGTGTGTGTGTGTGTGTGTGTGTGTGTGTGTGTGTGTGTGTGTGTGTGTGTGTGTGTGTGTGTGTGTGTGTGTGTGTGTGTGTGTGTGTGTGTGTGTGTGTGTGTGTGTGTGTGTGTGTGTGTGTGTGTGTGTGTGTGTGTGTGTGTGTGTGTGTGTGTGTGTGTGTGTGTGTGTGTGTGTGTGTGTGTGTGTGTGTGTGTGTGTGTGTGTGTGTGTGTGTGTGTGTGTGTGTGTGTGTGTGTGTGTGTGTGTGTGTGTGTGTGTGTGTGTGTGTGTGTGTGTGTGTGTGTGTGTGTGTGTGTGTGTGTGTGTGTGTGTGTGTGTGTGTGTGTGTGTGTGTGTGTGTGTGTGTGTGTGTGTGTGTGTGTGTGTGTGTGTGTGTGTGTGTGTGTGTGTGTGTGTGTGTGTGTGTGTGTGTGTGTGTGTGTGTGTGTGTGTGTGTGTGTGTGTGTGTGTGTGTGTGTGTGTGTGTGTGTGTGTGTGTGTGTGTGTGTGTGTGTGTGTGTGTGTGTGTGTGTGTGTGTGTGTGTGTGTGTGTGTGTGTGTGTGTGTGTGTGTGTGTGTGTGTGTGTGTGTGTGTGTGTGTGTGTGTGTGTGTGTGTGTGTGTGTGTGTGTGTGTGTGTGTGTGTGTGTGTGTGTGTGTGTGTGTGTGTGTGTGTGTGTGTGTGTGTGTGTGTGTGTGTGTGTGTGTGTGTGTGTGTGTGTGTGTGTGTGTGTGTGTGTGTGTGTGTGTGTGTGTGTGTGTGTGTGTGTGTGTGTGTGTGTGTGTGTGTGTGTGTGTGTGTGTGTGTGTGTGTGTGTGTGTGTGTGTGTGTGTGTGTGTGTGTGTGTGTGTGTTTATTAGATAAGGTATGTTTGTTTCGTTTTCGTAAGCGACATTGGTTCAAATGGCACTTATGATAGTCTAGCAAAAAGGTATCGATATACTCTATACTTTATAAAATATTTGTTACATAATTTTTTAAATATATAAATATATAACAAATGTAACTTTCTTTTTAATTTGTCACAAAATGATACGAGGTACTTTCTAAATGTAGCAATTGTAGTTTGTTTTTCTGTACCTTACAAAAATATAATTTATAGAAAAAGAGTTTGGGGTATTGTTTTTCCAAGTTTAAATATTTAAAAATCAATAGAATTTTCAAGTTTTTTTAGTGAAATTTACAAGAGTAATAAAAACTATGTTCACTACGATGTTACTGGAAGCTTTTATATTTTTTAATATACAGTGAAACAATAGTTTTTGTTTCTCATGTAAATTTGTATAGAAAAGCTATTTCTGAATCCATATTTGAATTTCCCGTCCTAAAGCATTTTAAATTTTTCCGCTATTTTCTAGTGTCGCCATCATAGACTGGTTGTGGTTACAATCGCCCAAACAACTTTTTCCGTACAAAAAAAAATACATTGAGTTACACGTCTCGCTGGGTTGTCTCTGTTACTACTTAGTTAAATACAACTATTTAAGTAACTAATACTGAAATTTTCAAAAAACGCTAATAATATACCAAAAGTTAGCCTTTATAAATTGACAGCTACATTTGACGTTAAACCACTTCTAAAACACAGAAAACTTGGCAGTTTTTTTGTCCGCGAATCAACCATTTAGTTTCGCTTCTTGGGTAAGTATTCTTTGCTAATACCAAAAGGAAGACAGCAGAGATAGAAAATAAATTTCAACACTCTACCTTTGATTTTGCTCACTAATGAGAACGTATTCTTGGACTGGTTTCGTCCTTATTAGGACTTTTTAGCAAGGAGTAGATGGTTTTCAATTCCATTCTCCAAAAGAATTAACAATTAACGAAGGCAACACATTCACTAGTATACAAAATGTTGGTTACGAAAAGAATAAGAATACAAGTAGTGAAAATGGTGTCGCCATCTGTTCCTAGTAAACAAAATCAAAGGTCGCTTGTAGTAACCAGTTATGAAACTAGGTGAAACCAAAAATCCAGGCTGGCAATTATTCCATAAAAACTATAAAATACAATAT